TATCTGGGTCCTCCGGGTTTTCCCTCCACATTTAGAAACATGCGTTTGGAGTTTTTGGTTGCTATCAATTTCCACTCGATAAGCCACTTCATTGAACTCTCATTTGTGACCAGGTCGCTTCTGAAAAAGAGCTATATATCACTCAGTAAGCCTTACTTGGCAAAATAAAATAGTTATGTATGTTAAAAAAAACCCCTTCATTGACCAAAATGGCTTGGGGAGATGTTCCCCCAACAGTGGATTTAACATGGCTGATGAATATTAACTCTTAAGTGCTTTATCGTTGCGCAATACCCGCAGTACGCACATTATGGAAAGAATGAATCTGTCACGCATTTTGGACTTTGACTGTGTGCTGGTGCATTGTAACACTCGGTTAATCGTATCGGTGAAACGTGAAAGTGTCGACGTTATATAGTGTAAGCCATTAGCCTCCCAGTTGTGGCTGTGCCTCTGTGAGCACGTCACGCAGCTCTGTTATCGCTCGGTGGCACGGTGGCACGTGTTGCCAGCTCGCTATTTTTACCCGATGGGCACACAGGTGGATCCCAGCTTCTTCTGTGAAACCTCGTGGAGGCGGACTTTTTAAAAAACTTCAGCAGGAAGTCGTACGTGCCGAGATTTAGCGACGCGGCATTGGTGAGCGAGTGGGAGCGTTGTGACTGTCATGGTGGTTGCAGCTGTTTACGTTGGTGGTAAACTGGAAAGGACGGCCGGATTAACGAGCGGAGTTGGTGGTTTTAAACTGTAGACTTTGAAATGAAGTTGTGCGGCAAGGCTCTCCACATGTACTGGCTGCACCGTTGTACAGCTCGGCTGAACGTACACGCGACGTCGTCGCTCTGACGGGGCATTTGGAGGCCGCAGCTTATTGCCAAAGCGTCATGGTTGACCTCCAACGTTGACGACGGACTTTGAAGGTAAACGACTTTTGACGTTTTCAACGAGAGGGTGGAGTTTGGCGGTGCAGCGGAATTCCAAGGGTTGCATAGTCGTCGTCGTCATCATCATCACTCCTTGCCCTAGATTTTGTGTTTCAGCGTTGCGGTCTTGGCGATGGGATCCATATCGATTGGGAATGCTCGAGTGTGTCCGTCGAACGGCCGTGGACGCGTAACGTAGGGATCGTCCGTCCTTCAGTTGGCGAGCGCCACTTGTGGAGACTTGATGGTGATGCGGGAGCCCTCTGGTGAGCATGAATGCACACGAGTGTCCGTTTTTCCGTAATGCCTCCGGAGTGCGCTCCCGGGGCAATCGGCTCGCAGCAGTACGATGTGTGCGCGATACTCAAGCTGTGTCTTGGCATTGCGTTGTGCTGCTCCTGTCATTTACCCTGACCAAGGTCACTCGCTATTGCAAATGACAAGGCGCTGGCCTGGTCTCTTGAGTTCTCACCTGCTCAAACGAAGTAGACTTGAAACTTGAAGTGTGTTTGTAAGTGTATATATTTGTACGTTATGTTTTTTTTTAGGCATACGATGATTTGCTCCCCAAGTCACAATATCTGGGCTGTGTTTCTCCTTTAGAATCGATTGCTTTTTGTCTTATTTTTATCATTCATCCTTTTTTCTGTCTCAATTAGGAAAAAGTTTGCCTGTGCCATTTGCTTAACTGTAATCAGAGCATTCTTTTTGCATATAATTTGCATCCGTTGTAAATCATTCACTCTCACATGTGAAGTTGATGTGTACATCGTAGGTGTGTAGGTATTGATTTTAGCCTGAGTCATTACCATCGGCATGGGGGTCTAACTCACGTTGATCTTTATGTCACCGATCCTGGTGTTGATAAATGTAAAAAAACATTGGCCTGGCCAGTGAGACCAATCTAATATTTATATATATCGACAGTGTGTACAGTACTAATATCATCATCATCAGCAGCAGCCATGATCAATCCACTGCTGGATGAAAGCCTCCCCTAGCATGCCACCACTCCTCTACGGCCTTGCCATGCAACAATCCACCCAAAACTTGCACATTAGCCGATTTCACGGCTCCATCTCTGCCGTAGGTGGTGTTCCCTGTTGTGGGTATTCGGTGCACAACAATTGTGTGTGGTAGCTGTCGTTTTACTCTTCCTAAACTTTGTGGGTCGTGTTGTTTTCCTGGCTATCGCTCATTGGCAATTGGCTAGTTATCTTTACCGACCTCTATCCTCACTATGGCCCTAATCACTAATCTTAAGACATATGTTACAGCGTTTAGGCGTCTGCTAGGAGCCATAAAATGATTGCCAGCTCTCAGAAGTAAGCTATGGCGGGGCATTCAGGTGACCTGCAGGTGAGAAAAACAACAGTGGCACCCAAAGGAGGGAAACGCGTCTCAGAGAGCACGTCCACCAAGGAGATGGAGCGATGATATCAGCTGCAGGCATGACAAAACCCCATGAAATATAAGATACACAAATTGAAAAACATCGATTCTCATGTACACAATTTAAATGCGCGTATCGTCAACTTTAAGAACCTTTACTTGTGGATGAATCAATCCATCGTCCCAACCCACGTTAGTACAATGGTTGCCGTATATCTGTTTGGTGTTCCCGTAACTTAATTACTAATTGTACTATGATCCATGGAGTTATTATTCGGCCAGCATTTGTGTTTTGTAATTGTCTCGTGTGACACAATTGTTTTTGTTCTGCTTCCTGTTTTGATTAGTTGCTATGCTTTATTTTGTTTGTTTTCCTTTTGTCATTTTTGGTGGCCCAGGTAACTCTTGCAAATGAGACTTGCCTCTTTTGAGCTCTCACCTGGTTATACAAAAGAAACCTGAAACTTTAAACCCCTAATATTTACACTTGACTCTCTTAGCCATTTTTGTTGAAATTAGTGTAATCAAAACTTGATTTAAAGCTTTCGTGACTGAAGGAATTCATAAATATTAAAAATAATAGATCACGACGTTTCGATCGCAACACAGGCAATCTTCGATTCTTCGTTTCGATCGCAACACAGGCAATTCTCGATTCTTCAATTGCCCGTGTTGCGATCGAAACGTCGTGATCTATTATTTTATTCTATATACGTGACTTTACCGCTGCTGTTGAAAATTCCTCCGTTGAAGCTTTTTTTTTTTACGGCCTCTCGTAACATTTTGTTGAAAGCACTCGAGAGGGATACGGCTGTTATTCCCACAGCTGTCCCCAGGCTCCGCCATGTGGATGAGTAATTGTGACGATGGTAGTCACGTGGCTCGATGGAATCCTGTAAATTTTTCCAGCCGGAATCTCGAGAGCGCTCGGAGACATCCAGAACATCCTTGGAAACTGAGCTGTAAGTAGCACGGAGGTTTTAGAGAGTTGCAAAATAATAAATAACGATGTTGCTGCCCTTTACGCAGGAAAGTATTTTTTTTAAGACGAGACATTTTTTAAGACAAGAGGATCCTGCATTAGATAATTCCACGAATGAGCGTTTGGATTTACATCGGAGGAAAGCGTGGTTCCAAGATAAATCCATTTGGTCAAGGGGAAGATAATGCTTGAAGCTCCGCATGGATGGATTGACGTGGATGTGTTATTGTAATGGTACAGCCACGAGGCTCGGGCGAAGTCTGTAAATATCTCCAGCTGGAATTTGGAGAGCGCTCCTTTAAACATCCAGGCCATCCCTGGAATTGAGCAGCAGTTAGCATGGGTTGTTTTGTTACAAATCCTTCTTTTAATAAGTAATAATATTGCTGGCCTTCATCCAGGAAAAGCTTATTGAGTCTTAGACTTTTTTATGAGGGTTTTGTATTGGAACGTTAGGACAACTCCATCAATGCGTGTTTGGCATGTGGTATAAAACTGGAGTACCTGGAGAAAACACATTCCTTCGAGGGGATACCATTTAAAACTCCACACAGATGGAGTCCCATTGCTCTTGCACTCTGCAGGCTACCTTGTCAATGGGCCCTGAATCGTTCTTTTGCTCTTGTTGTTGACAAGTCTCTGCGCTGGCCATGCCTTTTAAAGGCAGTTAATGCCTAAGCTCGACGTGGGCATGAAGTGGGTTTCTTGCCCGGCAATTTTATGTAAACACATGGGTATCTTGCGCTGTTGTTACGCCATCACTGAGGAGGTTAAGGTAATGGCTGGGTGTGGGGGATGCACACCTTTCATCCGTCGCTTTGTGGGTACGTGCAGTTGAATGTAAAGACGAAGTCATAATAAAGGCGTTTGGGTTAGATCGCGTAAATATAAATGTGCTGTTAACCCACCAAACTCAAAAACCTTTATTCTGAATAATGTTGGTTCGCGAAAGCCTACATGTTGAATATAGAGACTCATATGTAGAGGACCTACATACAAGCAGAGCTTGTAGAGGACTGCAGCGATTCGTGGGAGATGTGTAGATGCTTTGAAGTCCTTGTTGTTTTCTCAATAATTTCTGCCGTTTGCTTTATGTATTTTTTACAACTTCTTTCACACCGTACATAGCCAAAGAAGCTTATAGGAAGTTTTAGTTGGGTATCTATGCATGGATCATCTTCCAGATTATTAGGCATGTAACAATTTTAGCACTGCACTTATCAATTAAAATACACATTCATGGGAACTCATCAAAGAGGACATCTTAGGAGATGGGAGGTCTGCTCCATTGTGAGATGGCGAGAGAAGGCGATGGTTTGGAGAAGCCTTCATCCAGCCATGGATAGATAATGGCTACTGATGGTGTTGATTGTGATTTATGCAGTAAAGTCTTAATAATTGGTCAAGAGCAGATGGACAAGAATAAACATTTACCAGCATTTTTGTTACATGTCAACTACGTGTTGCTCTTCTCCATTGCAACTTCAGTTGTGTCTTTGTCGTTGGCCACTTCACGTTTTGGGCCATTGGACCTGTGCTCATTAATCATGAAAAAAATGTTTCCTGCATGAATAAAGGATGATTATTGCTATTATGCGTGATACAGAAACGGTACTGTGGCTACCTTAGCGACTACTCACAGCACCCCCAACGTGTGTAATCTGTGTGTTGTTGTCTGCGTGCACTCGTGTGCGTGGCTGCAGTGCTGTGCTCGGAACGTGTGGGCCAGATGACGCGCACGTACAGTGACATCGATGCGGTCACGCACCTGCTGGAGGAGGTGAGATTCCTCACCATCGTTTTTGTTTTGTATCGACCCCGTCGACCATTGCCACGCGGCCTCACGGGCCTGCTCACCCTGTACGTCGCCTGCGCAGAATATACACGGGCGTTGATATAAGCAAGGAAGAAAAATAGCATGCGCATGCAAGGGTTGAGTAACGCTTTCCAAAATGCATCTGTCTTTGGAGGTATTTGTATTTAACCCTTTCCCATTCCGACGATGTACGTATACGTCATCAGAACGGAGAACTTATAACTTTATTGGTACCGAGGCTCCCACAAGGCCATGCTGGAGGGCCTGTGGCACAGTTTTTCGCCAGCTATCATAGAGTGCGGGCGTGTCGCTACAGTTCTCTGCGGTGAGTACAATATCTTTAAAAACAACGGTGCTATGCCTCTAGAAATAAAATTTACGCCGAAACGCTTGCGCATGCCGAGCTTCAGCGGTGAACGGGACCCACCCTGCAACTTTTGCAGACGTCTTGGAACAGGAAAGGGTTAATTAGCGGAACGGAAGCCGACGGGTAGCTGTCTGGGCAATGGGCGTTTGCATATTTCCAGGTAGTCGTGTTTGTGCTGTTCATCTCCAAGTTTTGGGGAACCCTATAATCAATATAGCTGGCTTTCAATCAGATAAGTCCCAATATTCTGCTGTTTTTGTTCTTATTGGGTCTTCTACGAGCATTATTGTGCCCTCCACCGTTATGGATGGACTGAGCAAATCCATAAATGTGTTAAAAGCTATCAGTAGTGCCGACGGTGAAACATTTTTTCAAGTTTTTATCTTTCAACGAGGAAAAGTAATATGCAAAAAAAACTTTACAAAAAACACGCTTTAATGAAATGTACCGTACTAGTAATGGAAGAACTCCACGACTCCAGGAAGTGGCCCCGAAACTTGCCATAACGTAAGGGACCGTGGTGATTTACAGCCAACGTCAGTTTACCGTGGGCAATTAGACCCAAGCTGAAACATAACATATAAAAAATAATGTTTAAAAATTTATGTTTTTTATTTTTTATGATAGAATATAGTATTGTCATCAGTATGACATAAGTATACCAAGTTTGCAGTCGATACCACATTGGGAAGTGGGTAAACATTGAGTTACAAGATTTGAGGATACAACAACGACAACAACAAGAACAACAACAACAGACAGAGTGAGTTAAATAAAAGCGTGTAAAAAGTAGGACGAGTGAATTTAACATGCAAGTTGGAGCTCAGGAGACATGTCTGGTTTCTGTCATTTCAATTCATTATTGATGACTGCTTCTACATTTACACACTCAGCAAATCTTGAGTCTTTTCCCCTGCAAGCATCCTTGATTATGTGCTTGTGTGCATGCTTATTGGATGCACGTGCTGGTACATGCACAGCCGGTTTGTTAAACTGCTGCCAGATGAGGGCGTTCCCACATTGTTACAGGGTCGTGGTTGGTTATTCGACCATACTTCACCACCGCCGGTCAGTGCGGATTGCTGAAAACGGAGGGCATAGATGCGGGAGCATAGAAGTCCAGTACAACAATTGATTTTGCCGCGTTGTCCTCTTGTTGCTCACAAATTAGCCGCAGGCTTGTCTAATTAAAATTACTTATCGATGACGGGTTGTACTTTTACAAAGTTTTGAGTGTTATTCCTACAAACATGCCGTGGTTATGTGCCGCGTGTGGACATGCTTTAACATACGTCCGCGTGTCCTTTTTCGCTTTTGCGAATATGCGCATGTGCGCGTGTTCGTGCGTGCGTTCTCGTGCGCAGAAAGAGCGGGACCTGGAGTTGGCCGCTCGGATCGGTCAGACGCTGCTGGAGAAGAACAAGAGTCTGTCTGAGCGCGTGGAGCACCTTGAGGATGAGTTGGAGCACACCCTGGAGCAGGTGGCTGAGCTCCCCCCCCGCACCCCCCCACCCCACCTCGTCCTAATGCCTCCCCGGTGGCTGGTAGCTGTTGTAAATATGGAGTTTGCATCTCTCTCTCTCTCCTTTCCCCGTGGTCGCGTGGATTTTTCTCTGGGCCCTCTGTTTTTTCCCCCTCCACATTTAGAAAGAACATGTGCTTAGAGTAATTTGATTGCTATGAATTTTGACACTGTGAGCCACTTCATTGAGCTATCGTTTTGTGGCCAGGTCGCTTCTGAAAAATAGCTATTAAGCTCAGTGGGCCTTACTTGGTAAGATAAAAATAGTTTAATAGTTTAGTGTAGGTCACCTCTGATTAGCACGATTTGCTACCTACGGTATGGACTTATCTCTATCTGTTCCATCTGTATGGGATAGAGATTTGGCGCCTTTCGCGTTTGAGTTTTCTCTGGGTTCCTCCTGCATGTATACACACTCAATAGTTGGTCGAAAACATCTGAATATCTGTTCACCTCCACCTGACACGGGTTGTGCAGCGTCTCGAGATGCAGATTGCACGAATGATGCAGTGATATAGAAACATGGATTATTATTATTACTGAGTCGGCATCCCTGAGATCCTGGTTTCGAATCTGGGTGTCATCCACCTGTGACAAGTCGGGTTCTTTATTATCATCATGTTACCTGAATCTAATAATCAATGATGGCCCAAAAAAATTCTAGACTTGAAGCTTTCGTGACTGCAAGGCTTCATATTCTTGGGTTTTTTCGGTAAAGTCACGTAGGTAAAAAATAAAAATAAAAATTTATAAAAGTAAAATAAAAATAAAATAAAAATCACGACGTTTCGGAGGCAACACAAACCCGATGAATTTGGGCCTTCACTTAATTTGGCATATTCCAGCCCTGATAATCACCAATTTCAGTTAAATTGCCATGCAACAACAATCTATGCAGGGCTTATTAAAGGTGTGCCCCTAGTGTGGATGAAGAGTCCTATTGAAGTGACTTCTGCACCATTATCTGACACTTCTAGCTGTGAGAGTTCTGATTGGAAATATTTTTGTCTCGTGATGCCGATAGCACCATTGCGGCAGATGCATATGTCACTCTACTGCTGGATGAGGGCCTCACCACCACCGTGCAAGTTGTGGGGCTTATTTGACCACGGTACAGCACTGCCCTCTCCTGCTAATAATGCAGTCCTGCGGGGTGGGGAATCGTAACGAAACTGGGAGTTAAAAACATAAACGTCAAAGCGTCGAGAATTGAAGATCCAATTCGTGATTGAATTATGCCCACCTGTGGTCTAACCGACCGCCCAGTTGGTCGATGGCGCAAGGGTTTGTCGGAAGGACGCGTCGTTAAGGAGCGGTGTGCTCCGCGTGGTTGCAGGTGAACCAGCTGCGGCACGACCTGTCGATGAAGGATGAACTGCTGCACATCTACACGCACACGGTGGAGGACAGCGAGAGCGACTCCAGTGCTTCCACTCCGTGAGTCCACCTCACCCCACCCCCCAACCCCGCCCACGACTCTTGGTGGAGTGGCCGTGGCATGCCCCTGAGGAGCTATCGCGCAAACGCAGCACACGGAAGCAGTGCAATCCAGTTTTATCCACCAAAAATACGAGCCAATATTTACATACAGCGGTAACCGTCGAAGATTTAACAAGTTGATTGCAGTAAAATCCCAGCTCGCCCAACGCTGGCTTTGGCCAAACCGATGTTGACAAAATAAAACAAAATAGTTCGGCGCTGCCTCCCGCGTCATTTAGGCCTCGTGGTCTGCTACTTGTTGGTTTTTCCGCCAAAAGTTAAATTCAATCATTTTACGCGTATACGAATGAGATCGTGATTTTATAGTGTTTTTCACAACAAGTTATCTGAAATTTACTTGCAATCCCAATTTTTTTTTCACAAAACTGTTTCGTGTATGCCCAAAACCGTGCCCTGCCGCTCTGTGTTGTGCCCAGTGCTTTAACTTTTTTTGGCGCTTGTCGTTGTTGTTGTTGTATTTGCTGTTTTTGTGTCGCATCCAACGCATTTTTTTGCGCCAAATTTAAAACCCAGCCCTTTTTAGTTTGCTCAGTCGTGCGTCCAACTGCCTAGGGGGCGACGCCCAGTGGCAGCGCCAGCGCCAGCGCCAGCCAAAGTGCTGACCTGACCCTGATTTTTGTTACCCCCCTATCCCCAACCGCGTGTGTCTTGCCCCCTTCCCGGCGCAGGCTTGAACGCAGTGGAGGGAGTCTCGTGAGTGGACACATCCCGGCACAGCTCGATGCGGTGCACAAGCGACTTAAGGAACTGGAAGACGAGAATTTGTGCCTCCGCTCAAAGGTGCGTGCGTGTGTGTGTGTGTGTGAAATATGTACACACAGTAGTGTAGCGGTTAGCGCGCTGCACTACGAACCTGGCCACCCGGGTTCGATTCCCGCTCACGGCAAACACCAGTGACGATTATCTGAACCGGTCCTGGGCCTCCCCTAGGTCGACTCAGCCTCAAATGAGTACCTGGTGCGGTGTGTAAACATCGCCGCTAGGGAGACAAAGGCGGTCGGGCGTGGTGCTGGCCACCCACCTCCTCGTGTACCGTTCCGGCCTTCATAGGTGCTCGCTAACAGCACTTGCCCCTACAGTCTGTTAAGGCTATACGTGGGATCTTTGTCTTTTATCTTTGTGTGAAGAGTGCGTCGTGCTACGAGCCCGGCCACCTCAGTTCAATTCTCGCTCACGGCCAACGCCACCAACATTGACGATTATCTAAACCGGTCCTGTCCTGTCTGCCAAAAGTCGACTTGGCCTCAAATGTGTACCTGGTGCTGTGTATAAACATCGCCACCAGGGATACAAAGGTAGCTAGGCGTGGTGCTGGCCACCCTCGTGTGCCGTGCCGGGTTTCATAGGTGCTCGCTAACAAACACTCGCTCAAAAAGTATTTTAAGGCAATTCGGAGGGGGATCTTTGGTGCATGCAGGCACATGTTAAACTTTTTAATACATTGAGATTAATTTTATATGGTGTATATCTCACGATGGTTTGTCATGCGCGCAAACTATTCCTACATTTCTCATTATTGCCACAGTGGGTATGGCAATAAAGTATAATAAATAAATATTACTGTCAAAACCCTCCGTTAACATCTGCTCAATGAGAGGTCACTCCTTCTCCGCTGCTTCGGCCATTATCTGAAACTCGCTCTCCCCCCACCCAGCCCCCCACCCCGCCCCCCCACCCCACCCCCTGGTTTTGTTCATCCGCGCTATTCATGTAATTTTTTTTACGATGCTCATTATTTGTTGGATTGTAAAGATGTTTGTGTGGTGGGTGAAAATGTCAAGCGTTTTGAGATGCAATTTGCATGAACGACGATTATATATAAGAACATTATTAGTATTACAGTCCTCGTGTCACATGCCCTACTATCTTGGGAAGCATCCTGAGAATACGGCTGCATCTGAGTACGGCAGTGCAGGGCGTCAACACGAGAGCGCACGTAATCCGATCACGTGTCCTTTGTTGATGTTCATTCACACGCTAATTCCATGAGTCTGGGGAGGGGGGGGGTCGTTGCATTGTATATGCCCCTCCCATCTAAAACAATGGGCCAATTCATAGTCATCTTGTTCACATGTTTACACAATTTGTATGAGCAAATTGCCAGCAACCTTGAAAGCGTTTGTTTTACTTAGTTGTTTGTGTGACTTTCATAAGCAAGAGTGGAAAACGGTGTCGGATAAATGTATGAAGGGACTAAAGATCATCTCTCTCTCATGGCCATACTGAAGGACAGATTCCAAGAACACAGGATGAGATGTTACTATCCTTTGTGCAAGCACTTCCAAGAGTTCATGAATAGTGAGCCTGGTGAAATTTGGGGAGCGCATCGTCAGTAGTGTACCTTTGGTTCCTAGGGTGTTTCGGCCTTTCACACTATACACCCTCCCCAAAGGCGGCCAGCGACAGGGTGATCAATCCTACGCTTGCGTCCCATTCCCAATTAGTCATAGGAGTTGCCTTGTTGTTGATAGCCAACATCCCGGATAGAGTGTAGATATAAAATATGACATAATACTTTTTTTCATACATTATTTTATGGCGGTGAAACCACATGGAAGACGTGTTTTTTTATGTTTGTATGTTGAACTTCCTTCGCACCGTATGTCGCCCAACCATTGCTAATTACAGGTGCGCAATGGCTGTGTGTACACTAGTGCACAATAGTTGTAATTATTAATAATATAAAAAAAAAAACTTTTTTAAAAACACGCTTTAATGAAATGTACCGTACTAGCAATGGAAGAACTCCACGACTCCAGGAAGTGGCCCCGAAGCTTGCCATAACGTAAGGGACCGTGGTCATTTACAGCCAACGTCAGTTTACCATGGACAATTAGAGGCAAGCCGAAACACAACATTTCAAAAAGAATGTTTACAAACATATATTTGTATTTTTTATGATAGAATATAGTATTGTCATCAGTATGACATAAGTATACCAAGTTTGCAGTCGATACCACTTTGGGAAGTGGGTAAATATTGAGTTAGAAGATTTGAGGATACAACAACAGAGTGCGTTAAAAAAAACACAGGGTCTGTTCATACTCTGTCACTTCACGTTCAACACGTCGGCTTTCGTGACCAATATGATCCACAATAGAGTATTTTTTCTCGGTTAGATTGCGTAAATATAAATGTAGAAATGTAAAAACATTTATGTTTATATGATCAAACCCAAAAAAAAAATATGTTATGAATAACTTCACGTTGTTTGTCTTTGAATGTATCAGGTGGCACAGTTACAAAAAACAACTCCTCCAGTCAGTGCTTTATTTATACAAACCTCCTCGCTATGTCACATGAACCTTATGGCGGGACCCTGGGGTCCCGAATAAACACTAATACTGTATATATGCCGAAAGCACATCCGTACCGAATTATCCCCAATTACAAATGATCATATACCGAAATAAGGAGGTTTTACTGTACTTGTTTTCTCTCGCAGCGTATAGGAAGGCCTATATTTCAACGATTGGCTATATGGTCACATCTGCATTTGAGGTGTAATGATGCATATCATTACACTATTATTAGGAAGCCACTATAGCTATGCACTTTTAAATCTAAATTGAAAACTCATCTTGTTTTTTGTGTTTAGTTTGTTGTCCTTCCCCTGCACCTCCGATTGGCACACTTGGCTACGTACAGTTCTAAAGAAGTTCAACATACATACGTATACATATTGACTCATCGATAATAAATATCGATTCTTACGCTCACAATGCATCCATCAAATTGTGCATGTAAGCATCAATGTTTTTCAATTCATACATGTTGTGTGTAATGGGTTGAAGTGACCGCAACAGTCACTAGAGCCGCTGCTGTTTACCACAAGAATGAACTCTAGAATCGAACCACGGCCCTGAATCACGCCAACTCATCGGTTCTCTGGTAGATTAATTGTTATAACGCTAATGTGCATCGCTTACAATGTAATGGGTGAGGAAAGTGTATATCAAGCATTTACTGCCTCGAATAAAGCACACAAAGTATACTGTTAAGGAGGCTACAGTGGCCCTGTCCACGTTTGGTTTGTCCGTTCAAATGCGGCACAGATGGGCCAGATAGGGCGCGTGGGCCAGATAGGGCCCACATGGGCCAGATACGGCTCAGATGGGCCAGATAGGGCATGTTGGCCAGATAGGGCACGTGCGCCAGATAGGGCCTACATGGGCCAGATAGAGCCCACATGGGCCAGATAGGGCATGTGGGCCAGATACGGCTCAGATGGGCCAGATGGGACGTGTGGGCCAGATAGGGCCCACATGGGCCAGATACGGCCCACATGGGCCAGATAGGGCATGTGGGCCAGATAGGGCATGTGGGCCAGATAGGGCACACAACCTTGATTCATATGGGCCGCTGCCACAAAATGATCTTCAAGCTGGCAAACAACGTGTTTCTAATTTGGGTGATGCGCTCGGTCACTTTTGTCACTGCAAAGGCAGCTTTATTCTCTGTTGACACACGTGTTGTTATTCACATTGTTATTGCATAACGCTGAGGTGCGTGTTAATGTGCGGGCCCGCCAAAGGTGTTTGAGGGTCCTGTTTGGCCTTCGGTAAGGAAAAGGTTTCCTATTCTGTGGCTGTGCGTGTGCCCGGCAGGCGTGTCACATCAAGACGGAGACCATCAGCTATGAGGAGAAGGAGCAGCAGCTGGTCAATGACTGTGTAAAAGGGCTCCGTACGTACCTCGCCTTCTGTCTACTTACAAAGACAAAGATCCCCAGTACAGCCTAAACAGACTTTTGGGGCAAGTGCGATTAGCAAGCACCTATGATGGCTGCTACGACACACGAATGGGTGGGTGGCCAGCACCATGCCTGACTGCCTTTGTCTCCCCAGTGGCGATGTTTTATCATTGCACCAGGTACTAATTTGAGGCTGAGTTAACCTGGGGGAGGCCCAGGAATGGTTCAGATAATCGTCACTGCCTTTGACCATGAGAGGGAATTAAACGCGGGTCGCCGGGTTCGTAGTGCAGTGCGCTAACTACTGTGCCACTGCTACTTACACACGCACATACACACTTAGGTACATGCATGCGAGAGGCAGTAAAACGATCTGGTACCTAAATTTCGATTTAAAGCTTTCGTGACTGCAGGGATTCATCTTCTTGGTTCTTTCGGTAAAGTCATGTAGAAGGGAAGTAATAAAATAATAAAAATAAAACATAATAAAATAATTCTCACGACGTTTCGGCCACACGCTGTCTCCCCGACAGACCTGGTCTTCACCTGCTTGCGTTGTGGTCGAAACGTCGTGAGAATTATTTCATCTGGTACCTGTACAGCCAGCAGGTGTCTGAGCAGTCCGTGCGGTGGTTGGGTGTGGTTTCTCCGCATGTATGGGTCTTCCTCGCACACACCAGTTTCCCCATGCATAAACAGTTTTAAGATTAATTGGTGATTTAGCTCAAGCAGGAAATCAACTGACTAGGCTGGCATAAGCGCCATGCTGTCGTCACCACCACTTGACGGGCGCTCGCCGTTGCCTGTGCGGCGATGCTGCCGTGAGCGGCACCCGTGAGGGAGCAAGTGTGGTGTGACGGTGAACCGTGTGCACCGTCTAGGGGACGCGCACCTGCAGATCGGACACCTGACGGACGAGCTCGGACGGAGGAACGAGGACAGCGCCCGCCAGCAGGAGGAGATCACCCACCTCCTGTCACAGATCGTGGACTTGCAGCGCAGGGCTAAAGCTGTGAGGACATACTTCACAACGATCGTTGTCGTCATGCCACTATTGATGCATTGATAGATTCTAGATTTGAAGCTTTCGTGACTGCAAGGATTCATATTCTTAGGTTTTTTCGGTAAAGTCACTTAGGTAAAACATTAAAATTAATAAAAGTAAAATAAAATAAAAGTCACGACGTTTCGGAGGCAACACAAGCTTCCGTCTTCAGGTGGAACCGTCACAGCCATGGTAGCTGTATCAAGTAAATGAGAGATTGCAAGAGCTACCACTCTGTATATATAGATGCCTGTCCTTCATTGCGGTTGTAATTTTTTGAGAACCAAACGTAGGTTGAGCCCGACACCAAAAATTGACGTGATAAATAAACCTCTCTTTTTCAAAATGCAGTGTTGTGCTTTTCAGATGCGTGAACGCAGCTGAAGAGTAGGCAAACACTTTTCACCAGCAACACTAAAAGATCAACGACCGCTTCCTCGCTGCCAACTGCGAGTCACATCGTAAAAGCAATTGCGGCATTCGTTGTAATTCTGCAGTCGTTTCATACTACTTAATGATTCGAGTAAATGCCAGATAAAACGTTGTGAAATACGCTATAAAAGCTGGAAGTTATCATTATTATAAACATACCGATATTTCATTACTCACTTGCCAGAAAACTACATTGAGCAGATAATGGAAGTGCATATCAGCATAAAAAATCTACCTTTGACTTCTCCCGTGTCCTTGATCAGTAGATGGCTTTATATGCAGTCTGGCTGTAAAAAAATTCCGTCTTTCTTGTCTGCTTTTTTGGATAGAAAATTTTCAGAAACAAAAAGGCACTTTAGCATTTTTATAATGTCTGCAAACATCCATGTATTACTCACTAAATTATTTTTTTAATTTCACTTTGGAGGTTGAAAGTGTTTCTCTGGCCCTTCCTAACAGGGGACATGATCCAATGAAAACCATATTGTAATTGAATGCTGTGTTGCTATTACAGGACCCTGTTGATGAGTGTCCAAATTGATCTAAGGGTTATAGCCCAAAGCCTAAAGACAATCATAACAAAAAGGATGACTTTAAAATGTGCAAATGTATTTCTCCGACAGTTACCCATCTGCTTCTGAACTGCAAATTAAACACCGGAGAGAAACACACAGTGGAAACCGTTGCATAACCCTCGCACACGCATGACTTTTAAAACTTGTTTTAAACGCTGTATTTTGTTGTTCATTGGTTGCAGTATCAGCTGGAGAATGAGGAGCTCGTTCAACATCTGAGCGCAGCCAAAGAGGCTCAGCATGAGCTCACGGCAGAGGTGAGTCGTGGATTCATTGAAGATCGGTGCGGTCTGGGGTGATTGCAACTCGTGGCCTTCATTTGTGTTTGTGTGTGTGTGCATCCTATGACCATAATCTGCTCAATTGTCTATCTCATGACCGTCATCTATGATGGCAGTGTTCTTCATTGCAAGGCTCGCGGGCCACTGGCCAGCCCCTGGTGGCCTTCAGTGCGGCCTCTGACGTGCTGGCCCTGACAATACACAAATGCGAAAACACCCCATCATGCTGTCAAACCCACTGGTTTCAAATGAGTTGTGGCCATCGGACTGATGTCGTCTCGGCAATAGTGACCCCCCCCTCTGAAAATTAGTGAAGAACACTAATCTGTGTGCTTGTGTATCTCACAAAGCAACATCGCCCCCGACTTGATTTGCAGACGAATGCCCATTTATATTTCAGTGTTGCTTATACCTTGTACTGCACAGAGACAGCTGCCTCTTGGGGTTCCCTTGGCCAGATTGCAGTAGGTCATTAGAATGATTGGAATGGGGCGATTGAGTTGCTCAGGCATTTAGATTGCCATATGAATGCAAATAACAAGAATGAAGTTGTATTTTTAGACCGCGTCATTCATGCAAATTGCTTCTCAAAACACTGTACAATTCATAACACGAACAGATTTTCTTCTTTCGGAGGCACGGGAAGCCAGACCAAGCAGGGAAGGCAGCCAGAATCGGTGCCAACAATTATCTTCCTTCAAAAAAAAGCCTCAAGCAGAAGATTCGTGCTGGATACAACTACATTTGCCCATGTGATTTGTAACTTTCATCCTTGCCCATCTATCGAGAGTTAAATTTTTTACGTGCAATTTTATTGACGGACTTTGTGTTGTCTTGGTGTGGTCTGGGACTGTTCGTGCTGTTGTTTTACTGTCTTGCTCAAGCTTGGGAATTGGTTTACTTATGCAATTGGAACTGATATACTTGATCTATTTTACGTATTTATTTTTAGTGATTTGCGTTCCTTGCCAATACTTTGCACTCCGATCATTTGTTGTTGTAACGTTCTGACCCCACCCCTACTGTAAATCTGTGAAAAAGAGCTTCATAGCACATGGGATTTCTCCGGGATAAATAAGAGATTCAAATTCTGATATCCTCTTAGCATCAGAATATCCCCTTGGCACCAGCATCCCCTGTTGATCCTGAACAGTTGTCCAAGTACGCGGTTTTTACTTGGGATGTTTTGGCCATCGCTGTGAACGAGCATCCATGATCCCTGATCGTCACGGCAAGCCTGCTTTGCGCTGGTTTCAAATGTAGGATTTCGCAAACCAATATTATCCATTAGAAAGGTGTTTGTTTGGTTGGATCGCATAAATATGTTTTGTTAAACCTGCCACCACCCGGCGCAGCCAATTAGTAAGGTTTGTCACGTAAACAGAACGTGCCGATTAGTTTCTACTTCAGCACACCGCTGTGTTGGAGAGTAAACCCACAACTTTAACAATTTGAGTGACGTTGTGTTGGTGATTATAACCAGCTTCAGGTGATAAGCCAGAATTGTGAAGAAGTCTTCCTGTTTCCGTCTTAAAAAGAGAGGAGTAAAGGTGATGTCATCACTGTGAGCCGATTAGGTGCAAAGATTATGCTAATAGAATATGCGGTACCTATTATAATTATTGGTTGGGTTATTCACAGTTAATCAACACACAGCGGGAATGCTTTTATGTTTAGTTTGCTGCCCCCCCTCCTCTCTTGACGGATTTCCGATTAGCACGTTTGGCGACGAACGGTGCCCAATAAGTTCAACATACATAGATACTTTTTGATTTAAAGCTTTTGTGACTGCAGGGATTCATATTGTTGGTTCTTTCGGTAAAGTCACGTAGAAGGGAAACAATAAAATAATTGTTTATTTTATATTTTTATATTTTATTGTTTCCCTTCTACGTGACGTTACCTAAAGAACCAAGAATACACATGGATACATTATGTTGATCTGAGAATACGCAGTACATGTTGCCGGTTGGGTTATTCACCGTTAAATCAACACGCAGTCGAATGCCTTGATGCTTAAGTTGATTGTCCCGCGCCTGTTTTTGCGCCGCGCGGTGTGCAGCTGCGGGAGCTCGAGGAGCGCTACGCAGAGTGCGTGGACATGCTGCACGAGGCGCAGGAGGAGTCAAAGGGGCTGCGCAGCCAGACCGTCATGAGCACGCCGCGCAGATACAACGGCAGCCTCCTCTATCCCATGGTGACGCTCCTCGACACCCGCACCTCGTTTCGTGCGAGCGCCGCACCACAGAAGGGTTCCCCGGGTGCCCGAGTGTGGATTATTATTTTTTTCTTCTTGGTTCTTTCAGTAAAGTCACGTAGAAGGGAAATAATAAAATAATAAAAATAAAACATGATAAAATACAATTCTCACGACGTTTCGGCCACAGCGCAAGCAGCCGTCCTCAGGTGAAGAACAGGGCTGTCGGAAAGACAGCGTCTGAATGATTATTATTAAAAAATATATATTTTTTTCTTTCTCAAGGGGTCCTCCGGTTTTTCCCCTCCACATTTAGAATCAACGTGCATTTTAGATTATTGACATTGTTTTTCTGCCATAGATTTCCATGCGATAAGAAACTTTGTTGAGCTGTCGTTTGTGGCCAGGTCGCTTCTGAAAAAGAAGGCTAATAGCTTAGTGGACTTTACCTCGTAAGAACATTTTTTTATTCGGATATTTTTTAAAAGTAATTTTTAATCTTTCCTCTACTTTTCACTCCTACCGTGCTTTTTGTATTGTTTGTTGTTGTAACGTTTTGACCCGCCCCTACTGGACATGTGTGAAAAATAGCTTTTTAGCTCATCGAATTCCTAAAGTATAAATAAATATTCTGATTCTGATTGTGTGTGCCTCCTTAAGGGAGGTGTGCCCCCTCGTGGCTTAGACAGCTAATGTTGTTCTATGAGATCTCTTTTACCAGTGGCAAAATATAGTAGTAGGGTTTTACCCTTTTAAACTGGTACAAAACTGACACCTTTATTCAAGGCATCATGTTTTCCATAAACCACAACACAAGTTGATCAACTTCAAGGACAGTGCATATTATTATCATTATCAGAGTTGCTTCTTTTTGTTTGCTTTTTTGACTATTTGTGTTGTGGTTATTGCAAACATGATGCCTTGAATAAAGGTGTCAGTTTTGTACCAGTTTAAAAGGGTAAAAACCTACTACTATAGCTAATGTTGTTGTTCGGAGCATCGAGAGCTCAGCACTGCTGAAATCGTCGGTTCCAATTCGGACTGCTACATACGGTGCGAACTTCTTTCGCACCGTATGTAGCCAACCGTGATAATCGGACGTGCGGTGAAGGACAATGAACTGAACATAAAGAGCACTTTTAAATAAATGAGTTTTCAATCTTAAATTTAAAAGTGCATAGCGCCAGTGACTTTCTAATATCGGAAGAAAGAGCGTGCCAGATGGCTGCAGAAGCGCACCTGAAAGCGCGCATTGGGGTGACCATCTTCGTTCGACGGCCAGCGAAAAGCCGCCACTGCGAGGATGGCTGGAGTTGACGCGACGGTCTACGCTCCTTGACGAGGTCAGCGAGGTGATGGTGTGGCTGTCTGTGCGTGGCAGGACTCGCTCGCGGCCGAGATCGAAGGCAGCATGCGCCGAGAGCTGCACGAGGATGAGGGCTTCTCTGACCACCGGTAAGATAACTACGCACGTGTTCTGCTGATGGTACTCAAATAAGTCAAAACTGAGTGCTTGCTTAGGTAAATGCGATATCAAAATCACCGGTTCAGAAGGCCACCATCGCCAACCCTCGCCAACAAGCGCGATGAAGTGTGGTCAAAGAAATCCACGTGATTGGGATGACGTGGAAAGGCCCTCCTCCGGCAGTGGATGACACGGGGCTGCACGGTTTGTTGATGCAGGACTGCACACGGGGCTGTCCATAGGGGGAGCGCGGGACCCAGGGTAACTTACCGTGTGTGGGGCCCCCCGATGGCTACAAACTAAACCGAAAGTATCACATCTGACACCATGACGTCGAATCGCGAGGCCCCCCAAGTGCAGGGCCTGGGGCGGTCGTCCCAATTTGCCGTACCCCTAGGGACGACTCCGGCTGCGCTTGTGCATTACGATTGACGACGCTTGATGCCTCATGTGAACACGTATCGATATATAATGTGTCAATGCCGGGGTGACGGCGTGCCTGTGTGGTCAGTTCGCAGCACAAGCGTGTGTTCGACACTGTGAAGGTCGCCAACGAGCTGGTCAAGCGGCGCTGCGTAGGTGGTTCTTCACGGCCGCTGCCAGGATCTGGCCAGGCCCCTGCCGGGGAGACCGGCTCTCCGGCCACCTGGGCTCACGGTGACACGCCGTGAGTTCCGCATCTCGGCTCCCAACATTTCCCATCTCCCATCAGAACTACCGATGCTGGAAAACACACCAGAGGAGCTGTATTATCCACGTGGTTTTTTTCCATGGGTCCTTCTATGGAGTTTTAGGTCCCTAGACAAATGCTCAATTTTCCACCACCACCCCCGCTAGCTCCCTGCTTAAATCCGCCGCTGCTGACGTCTCTCCACGCCGCGTGCAGGGACGGCAGCCAGCGGCTGGGAGACCGCGGTAGCCCCAGCTGCCGGGACCTTCAAGCAGCGCTGCACCGGCTCATGCTGCGAAGGGAAAACGTACAGTGCGAGCGGCGCTACTTCGAGGAGGAGCGCGAGCGGCGGCGGTCGCGCGAGCATGGCGCCGATGGCGCCTACGGCGTCCTACCCAGTGGCCTGCTCACCCCGGCGGACAGCATCATGTCCATCGGCACCTGCCTCTCCTTCCGCTCGTTCCTGCCCGACAAACTGCAGATTGTCAAGCCCATGGAAGGTGTGCACGGGCACCTGGTTGTTCCTTACTCCTTTACGCACAAGAGCCTTTCGACGTCACGAGAGTCGTGTGGGTTGTTTGAGCATACTTCACAATGCTGTAAGATAATGTCTCGTCATAGAGCTTAACCATCATGCAATCTCCCATCATCTTCGTAGCGGCTTTTGGCTGACCATCGAATAAAGACAATCACTGCATCGCGCGCTTTCAGATGCGCTTCTGCGGCTGTCTGGAACGCTCTTCTGTCTGATATTAGGAATCCACTGGAGCTATATACCTTTTAAAATAATTTAGATTGAAAATTCATTTTTTTAGAACTGATCTCTTTGTTCAGTTTGTCCTCCCCCCGTACCTCCGATTAGCACGGTTGGCCATGTACTGTGGGGAAAAAAGTTCAACTTACGTACATATGGCCCATGGAATCGGAGAACACAGAGCTTCTCCTGGAATTTTTTTAAGTTACCTTTGGTCCACACAGTAAGGGGCACCCCTGAAAGTAATGTTTGTCGCATGACAGTCAAACCGATATTCATAATTCTCGGGGTTGTAATTTAACCGAATTGAGTGCAGAACCAGATGAGGAGTTGTTTTATTGTTTGTTCTGCAGTCAACTCGCAAAACTTGAGTACCCAGTTTTAATAATTGGTGCCAGCTTGGATTCAAACGTAGGATCTCAGCGGTGCCAGCTCAGTGCTCTGACCAATGGAGCATCCAACTACTTCAGTGGCTTTTTGTTACTTTCTTTAATTCCCATGTTCTTTGATGGACGGTGCCTGTAATGCAGTTTTCCCACTGCCAGGCTCTGTGATTAAACCCCAGGATCTTAGCGGTGAGGACTATGGCTCTCTGATCTTCAAGCCATGTGGCCAATTCATAGCATTGTGTTATTTCAATTGCCTTGTTCTTCAATGAGCGGTGCCCATCATGGGGTGATGACGAGGCCAAGCGATAACGGATTCACTGTTTGCTGCAGAGGTTCGTGGTTCGAATCCAGCGGCGGCCCTGTTTATTACTGCGGGGTGTAGTACTTGAATTTCAAACATCTTCCATCATTCGCACGAGTGGACCATTTGTGCTGGTGTATGGGGTCAAATTTGCCTTGTTAGAAAATTTCTCTCAATTTACTTAATTGGGATGATGCATAGCAACCATCGGCCCCTACTAGTAGATTAAAGCCCATTTTATTCGCTGTAAGACGGCCCTGAGTATAGGGGCACCATGGTGACAAGATGTTAACTACCTCGCGTGGGATACAGGAAGTCGTGGGTTCCATCCCGACCCTGATGCCTGTATATTTGGTGTTTGCGTGATCTCCCCATGGTAACATGGATTTTTCTCCGGGTCCTCCGGTTTTTCCCTCCACATATAAATGTCCATCTGATAAGCCACTCTTCATTGAGCTATCATTTGTGGCCAAGTCACTTTTGAAAAAGCGCGATATAGCTCAGTGGGCCTTACCTGGTAAAATAGTAAAATATTTTAGTTTATAGGGGTGCGCTACATCAGAATGCGGCGTTTGTCTCCCCCGACCGCCAGGCTCCGTGACGCTGCTCCAGTGGCAGCAGCTGGCGCAGCCGCACCTGGGGGGGATCCTGGACGCTCGCCCCGGCGTGCTCACCAAAGACGACCGCCCGCTCGAGGACGTGGACGAGGAGGCCACGTACCACCTGGGCGACCTGGAGGAGGACTGATCTGCCGGCGGACGACGGCGTGGAGGGCCTGTCGTTCTGCTCCCGCCTCCCATCCTCGTCGCCCGCCCACCTCGCGGGGCGCGCCACCCGCACCGACGTGAGCTGCCGGGAACGCTGGGATCAACGGGGGATTTCTGGTGCCAACGGGATATTCTGATGCTAAGAGGATATCAGAATCAGAATCTTTCATAAAATCGTAAAATAGAAAAAAAAGATATAGCTTTATTTGAGCAGGTGAAGCCCGCTGTTCTATTACCTTATTTTTCTGGCCACAAATGATAGCAGCTCAAAGAAGTGGCTTATCACGTGGACACTTTTAGCAGTCAAATAATATAAATAACCTAAAGACATGTTTCGAAATGTGAAGGGAAATACCGGAGAACCCGGAGAAAAAAATCCCCGCGACCACGGGGAGAACATTTGCTGATAGCAAGTGGGGTGTGGGGCAGCTGTGGTGGGGACACTGGGCGTCTTGTAAAATAGTTAGTAGGTACGGTGAGCTGGCACGCACCGCTGACATCTTGGGTTTGAATAAAAAAACTCGGTGGTGGGAAAACTGCAGTATGGTCACCACTATTTAGCAGACAAGAGAATGTGAGAGAACAAATAGCCATTTCGATGGCCGGATTCCTCAGAGGTCAAAGGTCAAAGCATTGACCTGCCAGTTTAACACGTAGGCTTTCACGACCAATATCATCCATGATGTTTTTTGGGTTCGATCGTGTAAACTTCTGTTTTGGTTCTGCACTTAATTTGGCAACATGTCAATGAAATTCTGATTTGACCTTTATTGAGACAATCATCACTTTTATGTGGCAGATCACCATTGAAAGTACTGCCCTTTCCTGTGTAGAACACAGGTCACTTGGTCACTTGAAGGGACATCATCGGTAGCTCTGTGATATCCACTTCTGTTGGCCGTTCTCTGATACGAAAGGTCGCACTGCTCTGCGAGAGATCTAAATGGATACATCTTCTGATGACGTGACTCCAATAGCACAATTGGGATACAATTGGGGAAAATGCATATTAATAAACAATTGGTAAGCATGTTGTACTGTTGTGCTATTCTCCCATGCCCCCATCATCTCTCGCAGAATTACGATTCAGCAATTCATCCGGCACCTGCACACGAGGCTGATTCCATCACTCCCATCTCCACAGTGGACATCCTCGCAGACACCATCCCACCTTTTGCCTGCCACTCCACCGTTAGTCTCGACCACCGGTCACTATCCCTTCTAACCACGACGTGTCCTGCCCAGGGCCAACTTACCTTACTTTTCGATCATTCAGATGCTGTCTTTCCGACAGACCTGTTCTTCACCTGAGGACGGCTGCTTGCGTTGTGGCCGAAACGTCGTGAGAATTGTATTTTATTATGTAAAATTTTTATTATTTTATTATTTCCATTCTACGTGACTTTACCGAAAGAACCAAGAAGATGTTACCTTACTTTAACGGTCAATGCGACGTCTGTACCTTGTGCAATTAATTGGTGAGTACGCAAGTCGGCAAACGTCATTGCACCGACGTGTGTTCTCTGCAGTGTGGCCCAGGCGCGGAGGAGGGTGGCGGTGGCGCGGTGGCTCCACCCCAAGCGAGCCGGCAGGGCCCCGTGGGCAGTGCAGCTGGCCCTCAGGGCCCCGCCGAGGCCTTGGATCAAATGGTCGCCAGCCGACCCTTCACGCTGCCAGGTGAGCGGCAAGACACCGTGCCGCCTGCTGATAGAGCTTTTTCACACGTAGGATTTCGCGAACAATATTATCCGTAGAGGTTTTTGGGTGAGATCGCATAAATGTAAACGTGTCGTTAAACCTGCCACCACCCGACACAGCCAATAAGGAAGGTTTGTCATGCGAACAAAACATGCCAATTAGTTATTAGTTCGGCATACCTGTGTGTACTCGAATTGTAAATGTTGTGCGTTTACATGACAAACCTTACTAATTGACTGTGTCAGTTTGTGGCGCGTTTAACAACGCGTTTATATTTATACGATCTCACCCAAAAAACATCTATTATGGTTAGAGATCTTTCATCATCATCCTCATAGTCAACATCTTTCTGTTCTACATTTGAAGTTTTTGTGACTGCAAGGATGCATACTCTTTGGTTTTTTCAGTAAAGTCACGTAGGTAAAAAATTTAAATAAATTAAATCATGACGTTTCGGGTGCAACACAAGCGTCCTTCTTCAGTTGGGGAAAACTTTGCGAAAGCACAAACCGCTTAAGTGTGTCGACACATGAAACGTCGAGATTTAATTTATTTTAAATTTTTAACTACGTGACCTTACTGAAAAAACCAAAGAACATCTTTCTGAACCGCATTGCATCGTGGGGTGCATCACCGATGCGTCGGTTGTCAATCCTCTCCTCTTGTGCCTCTCCTTCACAGTCTGTGTCAGGTGCTGGTGCTCATTTATCCGTCCATGTTAGAGAGCGGAACGCGATGTTTAATACAGGATTCCCTTACTTTGTGCAGCTTCGGTTTGTGCGATGTTGCGAAAATGCGGCTAACTTGCTTCTACCCAAAATTCGCTGTATTATGCCGTTTGAATTTAATGTTAATGTTGCTATGTGGTCGGACTGGGGACAAAATTGTGTCTGAATGCATCTTCCGCGTAAAGTGAGGGAGATCTGTGTTTGTGTTGTGTTGTTTCCTGCATTTTGTGTTTTGTGTCATGTGGCTATGTTGTGTTTGCTGTAGCTTTGCGCTTTCAGATTGTAATATACAAGTCAACGTCTCAATTCTTCGTGTGTTGGGACACGATTAATGCGTAATGGCACTCCAAACGGAACATACCATCTGCAGGGACATTTTGGTGTTCAGTCGTGTCGAACTGTCAAGAATTCCTACGTCAGTCCTATGATTCTCAGTCACATGCATTTAATTTTCTACAATATAAAAGCCACTCCTCAAAGCCCCATTGTCTATTGCTCCATCATCAGCAGCTGTGTTACCGATTGTAGTCGTAAATAAGCTTAAAGTAGAATTCAACTGGGTCACATCATCTGTGACATTATTAAAGAGTTCCGTAGGTTAAAAAAGAAAACAAATAAATTAAATTGCGACGTTTCGGAGGCAACACAAGTAATGTTGCTGTATCAAGTGATACAGTAATTTTGTATCAAGTGATACAGTCATTTTGCTGTGACGGTTCCACCTAAAGACGGAAGCTTGTGTTGCCTCCGAAACGTCGGGATTTTATTTATTTGTTTTCTTTTTTCACCTACGTGACTTTACCGAAAAAACCAAAGAGTATGTATGGATCCTTGCAGTCACGAAAACTTAAAATCTCGAATTATTAACGAGTTGTCATCACCTCACCCACCTAAATTCAATTGACACAAGCCCACAAGTATTTTACAGGCCATGGACAATGCGTTTTAATGCTGCAACACCAGTGGCCAATTCTCAGTCGGAAAAAAACTTGTCCGTACTGCCGGTGTTTCTAGACACAGATCCAATGTACGTGTCGTGCTGTGCCGTGTCGGGTGTGCAGTGAACTACCCTGGCAAGTGCCTGTCCCAAACCAGCTCCACGTACACCTTCACCACCTGCCGAATCCTGCACCCCACCGATGAGCTCACTGCCCTCACGCCCAGGTGAGGCCCATGCCCATTCACTCCTCATTCATTCGGTCATTCATTCATTCAGTCGGTCGTTCGTTGTCCATAGGTCAAATTTATGCCTCTTGGAAAGGGTGATCATTGACGATTAGCAGAACCTTTTGCTTTGTAATGTTGAAGCATTTGAAGGATGCGAGTAATACATTATTGATCGTTTAGCTGTAACTATTTGTCCATGACCATTTCAATTAATGGGCTGTAACTATGTATTTTTTTTATAAATTATATTTGTGTTAACATGCTGTTTGCCTATTATTTCAATATAGGCAACTTTAGTTCTGTTTATGGATGACATGCATAACGTGTTTGATTGATAAACATTTTAAACTGATGCACAATTAAGGAATGTGTCCTCTGAAGAAAATAACCCCAGAGGCTTCACAGCACCAGCGTACCATTGTGAATAATGACCGACTCTCGCGAAGCTCTGACGAAAGGGCAATGCGCTCTCTCCCGGGGGGTTTGGCGGCTTGCGGTGAAACCCCCCTCTCTGCGTACAGCGGCATGTACGCGCCGATCCCGATCTGCAGCATCGGCCCCGGCGCTGCCAAATCGACGTCGGAGTCGCAGGCTGGCACGCCCTGCGGCCCTCCGCGCCCCAGCCTCTTCCAATCGTCCACCAACCAAAGGGACTCCACCAAGACGCTCAGCTCCAGCCTGGGTCTGGCCAACCTGCTCAAGGAGCGCGGCATCTCCGCCGCCGTCTACGTGCCGCGGGTCGGCCGTCCGCGGCCCGGCCCGCCCTCCGCCGGCGAAGAGCCGTCGGCGGAGATGGCCGTGCCGTGCACGCCGCCCAACTCTCCGCGCGCCCTCTCGCCGTGCCCGTCGCCGCCCGCCTTCCCGCCGGCGCGCCCCTCGGGTCTGCAGTGCGAGAGCTTCCTGGCGTCCAAGCCGGCCAAGTCTCTGCTGCTGCTGCAGGGCGCGGCGGGGGCCGCCGGGGCACGGGCGCGCAGCAGCAGCGGCAGCCAGACGGAGCTGTGTATGGGTGGCGGTTTGGTGGAGAGACTCAAGCGGCTGGGCCTTGCCAAGACGCGGAGTGATGGCAGGATGGTGCTGGCACCCATGCCCGCGCCCGCGCCCATGCCGCCGTGCTCCTCCGTGGTGCTTAACGGCGGCCTTGCCGACGAAGCCGTCGCCCCCGCCGGATTGGCCGTGGCGTTGGCGGTGGTGGGCCGCGGGGACACTGGTGTAGGGCAGCCGTTGAGGGCTGGGAGCATGCGGAGGAACCACAGCTTCCCCACGATAGCGGGTGGCCTCCGTAGAAACCAGAGCATGCCGGTCATGAACGGCGGCGTGCCGGCGGGCACCAACCCATTCCAGTGCAGCGTGCTGGACGAGACAGGTCTGAGCAATGCGTTCCTCCCGGAGTGATCCGATCTGCAAAGTCGATCTACGTGAAGAGGTGGCCGGAAATTGCTCTCGGATAGTTTTGGTTGCCACCCCATAACTGTCGCTGGTCCATGCCGTGGCTGCATTCACTGTTTGCCGCTACTCTTAAACGTCAATGTCATTGACCGACATGTAGTGCAATGACTGTTCAGTATGATGGCGCGAAGAAAAATAGAAATTGTTATCAACACTAATTGTTCATTTTAGCCATTGTTTCCGTTGTTGTACTATGTAATGTTCGCTGCATGGGAGGAATTTGTGAATTTACCGCAACGTGTGATGTTGAATATCAGGCCACAATCGGAGACCATTACTTAACAAAAATGCTCATTTTGATGCGGCGGCTTTGAGGCGAACAACTAGTTTTGTGATGGGCACTCATGTTTGTAGGGCAGCGATCGGTGAGGTGCGCACATTGGCCAATGAAGGCCGCTGGACAGAGATGTCGAAAAGCAACAAGCCTTTGTTACCTATCCACGTTCAAATGAGCCCCATGTGAGAACGCATCTACTTTATCACAGGTGCCTGGGGGATTTGCCCACCATTGATTGTGCTCCCGTTAATATCACGTGGTAACACTGATCCACGAAAAACCGGTTACCTCCTGTGAAAGTGAACTCCGTTACTCACCATTAGCCACAGCAAAAGCTCGGGAGGGAATACAACTGCACAAGCTTTCTCCGATCTGTATTTTTACATTTTTTAAAAAGTGGTCCTTCCTACTTGGCAATAAAAACACCGGCGTCGACTAAACTAAATCGTCAAACATTTCTGGAGCATTTCCCCGAGGAAGAACGCGGGTTCCGTTCATAATTTCTACGTTTTGTATTTTTTCAGGACAGCGCTGCCGCTGATTTGCATAGCGACTGACGACACAAAGGCGTCCTCTTGCAAATTAAGACGCGGGCGATCTATTTTGCGTCGTACAAACCGTGGCAATTGACATTGCACACTGAGCTAATTGTTGTTAATGTTGTCGTAAGGAGCCCGGACGTTGATGCAACTGGGTCATAGACTCACGCGTGAGCACACTTGACCAATAGCCTACCTACCGACCGCCTCATCCACCCCACTGCTTCCATACTAAAGGAGGGAACTCTTATTTGAACACATGATAAATAATGTAAAAACTTTGCAGTATCCAAAATGGCAAGCGACTCCCATTTCCCTTGAAATTTGTTTTATTTTACAGGTGGATACATATTTAAGTAAATGTTAATTTCTGTTCCTGAGTGTATATATAAGTTGGGAAATGTAAATAAGCATTACCTGTGAATGTGTGATATTCACTGGATCGTAGAGGTGGTTTCTGCATGCCGTTTAGTATGGTCAAGTGGCCTGGCAGTGAAAACTGTTTTGCAGCCGTGCTAACAGAAACAAAAGTCTGCGTTGGCATTCGAGTTCATAAGGTCACCAACGTTGTTACTTAGCGGTTGGAGAACAAAATAGAGAAATGGCACTCCAATGGAACATTAAATCAATGAAGGAATTGCTTATTTTTAAATGAGATGCTGAGATTTCGATAGAGCTGAGTGACAAAATCTACTTTCAATTGTGGGTGTCATTTCTTCATTTGTTTTGGTACATTTCACAGAAGCGACAAAGCCACTCGACAGTCATTTTTTTAAAAGTCAGCTTTAACGATTGTGTAATCATTCTACCTGGTCGGAACTACTCTCCCACCTGTGCTTCCTGTGCTCGTCAAACATGCGCTGTTGCAGACGTGCTTCTCAAAGGAGGAGCCTACGAATGAATCGAGTGGAATAGGTGGGCAATGTGCACGTGTTTATGCTTTGTGCGCGGTCTAAGCACAGCCACGAAAAGGGAATCTTAATTGTGGAGGAATAAATATTGCATTCGACTAGACGATGTTTTTCTCAATTGATGTTACGGCAGTGGCTTTTATCGTCGTTGGCATGGGCCCTTGTGCAAGGAATTAAATGGGACCTCCTATCCAATTGTCCCCCGACTGCCAAGCCACCGCATCGTGGCAGGGTGACGCAGTCGTAACAATTTGCTTCTCGCAGCAATAAATCCCCAGAGTTCGATTTTCCGACTCGGGCATCTTTCTGCGTGGAGTTTGTAAGTTCTCTCCCCGGTTGGCATGGGTCTTCTCCGAGTTCACCGATTTATCCCGGAGTCAAAACAATCTCGCAATGGAATCAGGGCAGTGGCCAAATAACAATCCCAACGCAGAAAAATTTGGACCGTAAATTACTCGGCGGGAATTGCACAGAGGAAAATTGTCCCCCCCCCCCATCCTGTGAACCTGGCGGCAAGAGCGGCCTGAAGAGACTAAAGAGTTCCTAGGCAAGCAGTTGTAATAAATGAAGAAATAGATGAATAGATAAATTGGTTTAGTGACTAATTTTAAATGTTCATAACTGCCTGTTCCCTAAAAATGTCCAGCCGTCCGAAAGCACGGTCACCGTGGCTCCCAGCCTTTCCTGCTTTCATTCTAGATTTGAAGCTTTTCCTGCTTTCACTTTTACCAATCTCATTCACGCCCGCCGACTCGCGTGTCAGTCGGTGACGCGATGAGGGCACGATGCCTACATCGTTTGTTATCATTGGTGAGCACGGAAATATTTGACGCCGAGTTGGTTGTGGTGAACACTACGACCTAAAATCTGATGGAAGCGATTCCCCCTCCACCCAGATTTGGGTTTGGCCCATGCGGTGTGTCTCATTAGTCCGCTTGCTGCCCACTTATGCGGTTTAACAAATCCAGTTGTCGGTGTCGTGTGCGCCTTCTGCTCGGGATTCAATCTTCGTATTGACAAATACATCCATCCATGTGGCGATGGGGCAATCAATTGAAAAAAAAAACATTGGAAGTTATTTTTTAAACTATCCTACATTTGTCCGACCAATGAAGTACGCATAGAAGTGCGTGTTTTGTGAACCATATGAGCACATGAAAACCCATATTGCTATCTAGCTTGTCTATGATATGGCTGGAAAGGCTATGTTCTGTGTTATCACGATTGTCTTTTCGATGCTGACAATGTTGCTTTGTTGCATGTTTATGTATATTTGGGAAAGCTTTGCAATACCTGTGACTTGAACTGTTGCAATTATTATTGACTGGCATCATTATCTTCACTGTCACTATTATCACCACCACCACCATCGTTGGAGTTTGATTTTAAAACGTAATAATTCTTGCAATTTCAGTCAGCGACGAGGAGAGAGAATGTCCCGTGACGTGAGACTGTTATTAAGAGGCGATCGCTGCTTCATGCCAATGCGTAATATTGTTTTTGCTTTGCTGAAATATGCAATGTTAATTCTGTTGGAAGAATACGGGGCGACATTTAAAAGTGGCGAATATTGTCTCGTGTTTGTACAGCAACAACAAAAAAAACATGTAGATTGTCACCTGCTGGGGCTGTGAAGCTGTTGAGTTGATGCTTAATATGAGCTGTTGCGAATTTTGTGAGATTATTTATTCCAAACGGGTGTTTTCTCAGACAGAGTTTATTGTAAATATTTTACGTTGACATCGATGTCATTGGACGACGGCACTGAACGTTGAGTCTTGCTGTGCGCGCGCGTGTTCGTGTGCCTGAGTGTGCGTGAGCATGTGCGTGCATCACTAATCACTATCGGCAGGGATGTTCAAATCCGTGGAAGCTCGCAGCTATTCATAATAATTATCTATCACTTTGTGTTTTTTTGGATTATTGGAAGAAATTGCTCAACCAAAAGTGGACCTGGCTTTGACTGCCTTTGCCAAAGCGCTCTGCAATTGTCACCTGTGCAGCAGATGTCTCTACACAGACCACCATGTGCTTCGTTATGCGGTATCAGTGAATTTGGGTTTATTTTCTCCGCCATTCACCACCACCATACAACAAACCGCCCGGGGTTGTGCAAACGTCCTGATCGTTTACACCCAACGTAGCTTCCACGGATTAGTGTCTCGAGTCAATCAAAGGCCACAGATGACTGCTGCGCTCGCCATCCTCATTTTGCCAGTTTGTCTTTCGGTTCTAAGTGTATTTATTAGAGGTTTTTATTTCATCGTCATGGATGCAGGTGTGTGCGCAGCATTTAAATGGAACGTTATTCGCGTGTTTTGACGGTGCAAATGACATCCGCTGGTGTGTGCTAAGTGATGCATTTCTGAGACTCGATGAAAGTTGATCGTTTTTGGGGAATTGTTTCTGGGAAATTGGTCGTGGATGATGGTGATGGAAGGTTGATGCATGGTCGTTGTTTGTAAAGGAATGGAAGGGGGGGGGGAATAATTAACGTTGCCAAGAGCCATCTGGAAGTGTCCTTTAACACGTTTTTGTACCACGTGCTGTTAAAACGTATTGTTCGGCAATGTTTTCGGCTTACACACTCCAATCACGGTTTCTTATTAAATTAGGTAAGCGGGCAATGTGTTTCATTCACACTTCTTGTCTCTCCACGTTTTAAGCAACAGTATTGGACAATCCGTTGGCCAAACGGCCTTCTGGGAAGTGCGTACAGCAGCATTGACTCGGTTCAAGCAAAACTCTGGACCGATTCCAACGTTCAGTGTCTCAAACGACACTATGTCCTCAAGAGACACTGAAAACTGGTTGAAATAATAATGCTACTGTTATTTTCTATGTGGAGAGATGGATATTGGGGGGAGAGACATTGTCTGCGTGTCTTTTGTTTTTATATTCTCGAAAACGACGCTTATGATTCGTTTGTTGTCATGGTTTTCTATGTACCTGTTCAAGTACACATTGTGGATTCAGTTTTAAGTGATAAGAGGACGCAACAGGCAAATGTCACGTGCTTTCTGTTGTTACATATTCTTGTCAGCTTGTGCCACGAGCCACCGTTCTATGTGTGTGTACTCGTTTCCGGTATGTGTAGATGCATGGAAACACGCGGGTTGACCGTTCATATTTCAATATAGCCAATATTTCCAATCATCATCCGTGTTAATTCTTCGGCTGGATGAAGGCCTCCACAATCTGCCACCATGTGATCACGATCCTGAGTTGTAGTAATAATCCGCCCAGCGCTTGCACGCAAATGAACAGTTATTTAGCTCGTAAAACTGGCCAAGGATTAGCTTCCAAAAGGAGCCTATTTTATATCTATTTTTTATTTAGTTACACTTCGAGTACATTTCGTTGGACACGTTGTTGGGATTTGTTTTTGTTTGAATGGTGAGAGTAAGTGATGTCTGCATGGGACATGAGAAGGGGTATGTGGACGGAAAGGAGGTTTGTGTTGGAGAGTTGTGAAACTAGAGCTGAAGGTACCGGGGAATTTTTTACCGTAGGCCACCGAGAGGTGGGTAGGTTTTTGCCATTTTGTGAAGTTCCATTCGATCCGTCACTCTGCGTTTGGCTCAACATGAGAATTTATCTTTGCAAGCTACACAGCCAGCCTTAGCGGTATACCTTGAACGGCCTTTGTCATATATTAAATTATTGCAAGGTATAGTGAACAGTAAATACGGGTTCAGATGTCCTGGAGTTGAGATGTCAGGATATGGGCCATGCTCCTGATGGTGCATTGGATGCATTTTATAATATTTCTCGCACGCTAGGTAGACTCTACACGAGCCCCATTATGGGTACGCAATGAATTTGTCGCTCTCTGGGACATTTAGTGAAGTTCATGACATAATTGTGAACGATATCATCATTTTCTAAGGTGTATTTCAAAAAACCACGTGGTTACATGTGCATTAATTAACAGGCTCGCGATAAAAGTGTCAGTGGTCGAGAAACTAAACGTGTGATGGACTAGACACGTTATTCAGGTGTTGGTCCTGTAAGCATAAACAACAAAATTACGGAATAGTAAATTCATAAATACAAATGTACTGTAGATTTGTAAAAAGCACAAACGCAGGTGTTCCCACATGAAACGTTGCACTTTTGTTCTCGTGTTCCGCTGTGGTTTCTTGTTACTGAGCGCGAGTTTCACTCCTCAAAACTGTGCCCACCGGGGGACCCTGTTCGGAGCAACAGATGTGGACTTTTAACCCAAAATAAAGACGACTTGTATCCTCCCCTGATGGCGTGTGGTCTGCGTGTTGTGTATGCACAGTAAAGATAGACGTGCAGCCCAGCAATTAACACATTCCTGCGGAGGGAGCTGGTAGGAACGTTGGGTTGCTCGGTCAATGGCCAGGGTCAACGGCGGCGTGGTGTATTCCGCAAATATGCCCGACTGTGAGGGCGGGCACAAGCCGGCGTGAGTAGGTTCAACGTTGAGTTTTATAAGGGCACCACGGAGTGACCAGCCCCTCCCCACCCAGCCCCACCTCTCTCACCCCCCACCCAGCCCCACCCTCCCCACCCAGCCCCATCCCACCCAGCCCCACCTCACCCAGCCCCTCCCCACCCAGCCCCTCCCTCCCCACCCAGCCCCTCCCCACCCAGCCCCTCCCCCCCCACCCAGCCCCTCCCCCCCCCCATCATCAACAAAATAATTTGAGCGAGGCGTCATTCCGCGATTGCCGTACAGTTATTTGATTTCTGTGAAAACGTTTGGTGCATATCCGCTAAATTTGGACGGATCGTGGCATTAGATCACCATGGGTTGGACTTCGTCAATTCTACAAAGGTGTACTGCATGCATGGATAACTAAGTGAATCTCAAAATACACAATAGCATGCTAGCTAGACTATACAGCATGTATTATACTGGTAGGAACCACCTGGTTCCACCAGCCCACAGGGGATTATTGTGTCCGTCCGTTCGTCGTGAATTCCAAAAATGGGAGGGGTGGGGCTGGGTGGAGAGGGGCGTTCATCTTCCTGATGACGGTCGCTTGTGTTGCGATCGAAACGTCGTCGTTTTTTTTATTATTTTCTTTGCAGCTATCTACTTGACTTTACCGAAAGAACCAAAGAATATGAATCCCTGCAGTCACGAAAGCTTGAAGTCAAGTACCAGTTGTATTGCAAACGTTTAGTTTTAGCTATGGGAGGTAAGCGGAGAAGCTGAAGTAAACCCCATGCAGAACAGGTGGAGTTGGGGGGGGGAAGACATAGAAACTCCACAGAAAAGTGACTGAGTGGGGAAATCGAATCCGGGGCCCTTCCTTGCAATTGAGGCACAGCAAGGTCGTAGCCATGGAATCAACATTGGGGGGGGGACCTAATCTTCCAGGGGGTCTGGGGGTCCCCCTCCCCCCAGAAAAAACATCTATATTTGAAAACGAGTTTCCTGCCATGCCCTGCCTAAAATATAAAAAAAAATCACTAACACATAGGATCGACTTTTTATTGATTTTTTTACAATAATGTCTAATCGTGTATTGTATTACATTGCACTGTTTTTTCTTTTTTTTACCTTTTCTTGTTTCATTGTATGTGTAGTGGTGGTATTGACGTGCGCCGGCAGTGATGGATCACGGGGCGCGGGGTTGGGCACGCGATGTGGGCGTGGCATGGACGCGCGCGCCGGTGGTAAGGCGCGCTCACACAAGCTGGGAAAAAAGGATCGTAGCGAGTGCGCAGTGATTGGTCAGATAAGTGGGTGCTCTCAGCGACGTCCGCAGGAGGGGTATAAAGGGAGACGCGCGAGAGCACTCGTGGTCAGTGTTAACCAGTTGAAGACCGAAGACGGGGTGGAGGAGGTAGTGGCCCGAGACCCCTAGTCCCGCCGTCCTTGTGGGGACCGGGGCCCTGTGTGGCTCGGAGCCGAGACTGGGGAATCGTAGTCCGACGCCCGTGTGGGTCGGGACGGTGGTACCCAGAGCCGAGACGGGCACCCCGGCTGGGTGTGTCCCGGAAGGCTACGGGGCGTAAGAGCCCGTGTCAGTACAGCTGAGTGGGTGTTAGTCACCCGAGTAGCTAAGGAGGGTGTTGGTCACCCGTGTAGCTGAGTGGGTGTTAGTCACCCGTGTAGCTGAGTGGGTGTTGGTCACCCGTGTAGCTGAGTGGGTGTTGGTCACCCGTGTAGCTGAGTGGGTGTTAGTCACCCGTGTAGCTGAGTGGGTGTCCGTCACCCGTGTAGCTAAGTGGGTGTTGGTCACCCGTGTAACGAAGTAGGGTGTTAGTCATCCGTGCAACTACAAGTTGGTGAAAATAAAGAGTGTGCTACCCGTGAAGTCGTCTCCTGCCGAGTTACTACTTTACAACTGGCGTCAGAAGTAAACCTGTCTTCAAGGAGAATGGACACAAGGAAGACTTCTCGTTCCCACGTGCAAGACCGGGGAGACGACGACGTACCGGTGACACCACCCTCGGGAGGAGAGGACGAGGAGTTGCCGCCGATGCAGCACTTCGCGGAAATGGCCGATGCTCCGCCCGCCTCCGACACCAGCCTGCAGGACGCACACTCCCGCCTGGCGGAGTTGCTGCTCGCCGCCGCTGCGATCTTGGCGGAGATCTCCGTTCCAGCGGCCGGTGGAACGCCTGCGGGGTTGGAAGAGGCGGCGCGGCTGGAGGGTTCCCGCCATAAGGCGTTTCGCGCCAAAAGTTTTGGAGTTGGCGCCATTTTTGAGGGTCCGCCTCCGGTTGGCGGGAAACGCGGACACCACGTGGCCAGAGGTCTCCACACAGCGCAGCCCGCGTCATCGGCGAGCGCCGGAGCTCTCCATTTTGCGCCTGCAGAGGGAGCCGACATTTTCTACAACCACAGCGGCGCGCGGCAAAATCGTTCCAACGACGACGACGACGATCGAGTTCTCCAGCAACGATTGCCCGCGCTGTCGGCGTTCAAGGCGGACGGGGGCGACTGGGGAGCCTTCCAGCGACGGTTCATCGCGCATCAAGAAATGTCGGGGTGGTCCGACACCACTGCCCTGCGCGCGCTGCCAGCGATGCTCGACGACGACGCGCTTGCGGCCTTCACGTCTGCCCCGAGGTCGTCCCGCTCAACGCTCCAGGCCGCGCTGCACCTGTTGGCCAAGGTGTTCGGGCCGCCCTCGACCTGTCGCCACCAGTTCTACGATCGGCGGAAGGTGGTTGGAGAAACAACGCTCGCCTATCGCACGGCGCTGCTCGCCCTGGCGGATTCAGCTTTTCCCCGCATGGACAAGGAGGGGAAGGACGCCATGGTGACGGAGCAGCTGCTGGCGCTGGCTCACGGATTGGGAGTTCCCATTAATACGGCGGACGAGATGGACATCTGCTCCCTGGGGATTGCCACGAGTATCCACGCTTACGAGGTCCTACAGCGGAAGCCGACGGTCGTCTGCGCATCGGTGGAGAACGGGGCACCGGCCGCCACGATCATCGGACCTCAGCCTGCTGTGCCTCGGGAGGAGGCCTTCGCTGGTTCGAGGCCGGGGGAGTGGAGAACGGGAGGTCGTTCGCCCACACGCTCCTCCCGCAAGCTGGAGCAACCGAAACCTACGACGTCCCTCGTCGTCTGCTACAACTGCGGCCTTCGGGGCCACGTCGCGTCCGGGTGCCGGGCCCCGCGTCAACGCACCGCGGGACCACGTCCGGACGACGACCAGGGACTCAAGACATCCCAACTGAACCCGGAAAGTCGCGGCACCTCACACGTTCGGTCCACACGCACGGCACGTTCGGGTCGCCGCTTAGCGGTGGGGGGACCGTGTATGGGCGCCGGGGGTTCGGTTCGGCGAGAGGGGTCCGCGTACGGCCCGAAGGCAGTCGAGTGGTCCGAATTGGCCCACAGGATTGTGGCTGCGTCGGCCGGGTTGTCCGTGGTAACGGGGTACATTGACGGGGTTGAGGTCCGGGTGCTCGTGGACACGGGTGCGTCGGCCACTATTATTTCGGACCTTATTTATAATATTCTTCCCGTACAATGTCGACCACTTCTGCCGGTGGACGTACCATTTTACGCGGCAAACGGGGGATCTTTGGGAATCATCGGCCAGATTCGGGCGAATATTTGTATTGGCGACATTAAATTGGCGGGTCCTATTTTTGTATCATCATCGTTGGCCGTTCCTTGTTTACTAGGCACGGACTTTCTGTCTAAAATGCCCATAAAAATTCTCATAGACCAGGCCTGCATTGATCTTCCGTCGGGTCGGCGGGTTGAGTTTTTGAAGAGTCCAAATAAGATACGCACGGCTTGTGCGACGGTGCAGGCGCTGGCAACCCGGACTGTACGGGTGCCCCCGGGATCGCAAATGTTGGTACCCCTTCGGTTGAGAAAACCCCTTGGGGCGGATGCGGGGGCGCAGGGAGTTCTATTGGGGCCGTCTAACAGGGCTAAAGGGGACCTCGACTTAGCGGTGGCCCAGACCATGGTGAGGGGGGACAGTGATCCGTTCGTTGTGGTCCTGAATACGGGGTCGCGGCCGGCCGTGATTACGCAGGGAACGGTGCTCGCTCACGCCGCGCCGCTACCCGTCGAGGAACAGCTCGTTGCTCACGCCGATTCACATGTCGATACGCATCCCCAAAGTGAGGAGGGGACGGAGTGGTTGGACTCGTTGTGTGCCGGGTCCAGTACCTTGTCCAGTGTGCAGTTGGGTGCATTGAGGGGCTTGCTGCTCGAGTTCGCTGACGTATTTAGCAGGCACAAGTACGACATTGGCTGCACAGACCTGTTGCGCCACCACATAGAGACTGGGGACGCGGCCCCTATTCGACAGAATCCCTTCCGGCTCAGTCCAGCCGAGAAGGAGCATGTGCAGTCGGCAGTAAATGACATGTTGGCGGCCGACATCATTGCGCCCTCTTCCAGTCCGTGGGGTGCTCCTATCGTCTTGCTTAAAAAACAGGATGGATCCCTGCGGTTCTGTGTTGATTTCCGCCGTCTAAACAAAATATCAATGGCCGATGCGTATCCGCTCCCCAGGATGGATGAGTCGCTGGATGCCTTGGCAGGAGCACAGTTTTTTTCGACGCTCGATTTGCTTTCGGGATTTTGGCAATTGCCCCTCGATGACGAATCAAAACCTAAAACCGCTTTCCGGACACCGGGAGGCCTATTTGAGTTCAACCGATTGCCCATGGGTTTACATTCCGCTCCTGCCACGTTCCAGAGGCTCATGGAATTGGTTTTGTCAGGCCTTCAATGGGACACCTGTTTGATTTACCTCGATGATATCATCGTTTTCAGCCGAACTTTTGAGGAGCACCTCCAGCGACTGAGGGCAGTGTTTCTCAGGATGCGTTCCGCGAAGCTTAAATTTAAACCGGCTAAATGTTTTCTGCTTCGGGAATCGGTCAGGTATTTGGGCCATATCGTTAGCCGTTCGGGGATCTCGACGGACCCTGCTAAGACGCAATGCGTCGGCTCATGGCCAACACCGACCTCTGTTACTGAAGTCCGCAGCTTCATAGGATTTGCCTCCTATTACCGTCGTTTTGTCAAACAGTTTGCCACCATAGCCAGGCCCCTGCACGCCTTGACGGCTAAAGGGGTGCGGTTTCACTGGGGGCCGGAGGAGGAGGCCGCGTTCTGCTCCCTTCGTGACGCCTTAGTGCAGGCTCCCCCCTTGTGTTACCCCGATTTCACGCAACCGTTTGTGCTCGACACGGATGCCAGTAACACGGGTATCGGGGGAGTGCTCTCACAGGTGGTCGGGGGGGTCGAACGGGTGGTCGCCTACGGTAGCAGGGTTCTATCCCCCGCGGAACAACGCTACTGCGTGACACGGCGTGAATTGCTGGCGATTGTGTTTTTTATACAGCAATTCAGGCCGTATCTGTATGGCCGTCACTTTACGGTTCGCACGGACCATGCGGCTCTCCAATACGCTATGCGGGTGGCGCAGCCATCCGGCCAATTGTCCCGATGGTTGGAGGTCCTTCAGGACTACCAATTCACGACGATTTACCGCAAGGGGTTGCGCCACTCGAATGCGGATGCATTGTCACGGTTGCCGACGCGTACGGAATGCGCATGTCAGTTAGGATCGGCGCGGTGTAAACCTTCTGTCGATGTCCCCGCGGAAGTGGTGCTAGCCGCCACGGATACTACGGGGGTCGACGCCCCCACGGGGAGGGACTCGCTGTTAGCATTGCCTCTCATCGAGTGGGGCCGTCCGCAAATGGCCGACAGCTCCCTACTCGCGCTACGTCGGAAGGTTAACGTTCCCGAGGGCGGGGAAACGCGGGTCGGTTCCTGGGTGTGCAGACAGGGCCTCTTGATGAAGTGGGACTCCATGTCCCGGCGTCACATGCTTGTGGTGCCGGTTGCTGTACGGGGTAAGGTCGTCCTGGCTGCCCATGAACGACTCATGCATCTGGGGTTTCACAAAACGCTCGCCCTCATTCAGTGAGACTACTATTGGCCTGGGATGGGCAATGACGTGGCGAACATTCTTAAGGGGTGTGTAGGGTGCGCTAAAAGAAAACCGCCACCAATAGCGGCTAATCCACCGCTTCAATCCATTCAAGTTTCGCGCACGAACGAATTGGTCGCGCTAGACATCTTGGGGCCCTTTCCCACTACAGCTCGGGGAAATAAGTTCCTGCTGGTTGGCGTAGAGTACTTCACCCGCTGGCCCATGGCGTGGCCACTCGCCAACCAGTCGGCTGCGGCAGTGGCGGACGCCTTTGTCCAAGGTTACGTTTTGGACAAAGGCGCCCCCGAACGCTTGCTGACGGATCAAGGGAAGAACTTTTCGAGTGTTTTGTTGCGCGAGGTGTGCGACCTGTTGGGTACAAAGAAAGTACGTACCTCCCCGTACCACCCGCAGACTGACGGTATGGTTGAACGTCTGAACAGGACGATTACGTCTATGCTGTGCCAACAGGTATGCGACGACCAGGTGGATTGGGACTTACAGGTACCGGGGGGTACTAGCGGCCTATCGGATGGCACCCCATGCGGCGACGGGGTTTTCTCCATTTTTTCTGATGTATGGGCGGGAGGCTGATCCGGCCATGGACGTCCAACTGGGGATTTCACAGCCACGTGCAAAATCTAAATTGGCAGACCACATTAAGTTTAACATTGCCAAATTGGCTGAGGCGCGAGAGGCTGCGAGATTGAATTCACGCTCTCGGCAGATCGCGAACGAGCGATTGCATGAACGGAAGGTGCATACGCACAATTGGGAACCGGGCGATAAGGCCTGGCTGCATTGTCCACACGCACCGTTGGCTACGTCCCCCAAACTGTTGAGACCATGGAGGGGACCGGTGGAAATTGTGCGGGTTGCACGACCCCAGAGTATACAGATTAAATGGGGAAAACGCCGTTGGTACGTGCACCCCTCCCGACTGAAACCCTACGCGGCGCCGCGTGACCCCGGGTTGTGCCGTGACGACCGAGCGTGTGATGTGACCGTCGACTCGGGGAGGGATGTGTCGCAGGCTGATCCTCACGTGTCTCCACCTGACCCACCCCCAGGTGTCTCGGACTTGACGGCTGTTGACCGTCGGGAACCGGAACCCCGGGGCTCGCGCGGAGCCCCGATGCCTGGCCCATGCCTTCCTGAACTGCCGGCGCCGCCGGATGGCCAACTGCGTCCTGTGCCGTACGACGGTCCGGCAAGGCGGACTCGGGCAAGGACGCAACACTTTTCATGAAAAAAAAAAAGAAAATTTTTTTTTTCTTTTTTTGTTAAAGCCCGACTTCGTTGCCGGCTTCCCCCTCTGCCGGGGTAATGTCCCGTTCAAGGGACGCTCGGACATTGGGACGCTGCATGAGTCGGAGAGAAAAGAAGAGAAAATGATTAAAGAAATTTTTTTTTTATTGTTACTCTTTCCGCATACACAGTATCGTTGCCACTCGCCGGATTGTGCATGTTGTTCTTGTTGCGGGTGTGGCGGTTGCTGGGTTTTGCGGATTGCGGTGTTCATGTTGTGTTGTTAGGGTTGTGTTATGTTACGGGGCACACGTGGGGGTGAAGGGGTGTTGTATGTTTTATTAGCAGCCGGGTCGGCTGCGAGCTATGTGGTAGGGGGTGATGTAGTGGTGGTATTGACGTGCGCCGGCAGTGATGGATCACGGGGCGCGGGGTTGGGCACGCGATGTGGGCGTGGCATGGACGCGCGCGCCGGTGGTAAGGCGCGCTCACACAAGCTGGGAAAAGAGGATCGTAGCGAGTGCGCAGTGATTGGTCAGATAAGTGGGTGCTCTCAGCGACGTCCGCAGGAGGGGTATAAAGGGAGACGCGCGAGAGCACTCGTGGTCAGTGTTAACCAGTTGAAGACCGAAGACGGGGTGGAGGAGGTAGTGGCCCGAGACCCCTAGTCCCGCCGTCCTTGTGGGGACCGGGGCCCTGTGTGGCTCGGAGCCGAGACTGGGGAACCGTAGTCCGACGCCCGTGTGGGTCGGGACGGTGGTACCCAGAGCCGAGACGGGCACCCCGGCTGGGTGTGTCCCGGAAGGCTACGGGGCGTAAGAGCCCGTGTCAGTACAGCTGAGTGGGTGTTAGTCACCCGAGTAGCTAAGGAGGGTGTTGGTCACCCGTGTAGCTGAGTGGGTGTTAGTCACCCGTGTAGCTGAGTGGGTGTTGGTCACCCGTGTAGCTGAGTGGGTGTTGGTCACCCGTGTAGCTGAGTGGGTGTTAGTCACCCGTGTAGCTGAGTGGGTGTCCGTCACCCGTGTAGCTAAGTGGGTGTTGGTCACCCGTGTAACGAAGTAGGGTGTTAGTCATCCGTGCAACTACAAGTTGGTGAAAATAAAGAGTGTGCTACCCGTGAAGTCGTCTCCTGCCGAGTTACTACTTTACATATGTAATAACAGAGATTAGGGATTAATAAAGTCCAACCATAACCACAATCATATAAACAGAATTCTATTTTATAGCAATATATTTGGGGGGGGGGACATTATGAGCATATTTGAATATTGGGGGGGGGGGATGTGTCACCCCCCCCCCCAATATATTTTATAATTACGGCCTTGAGGCACACACACACACACACACGCGCGTTTCCCACACTAGTGTTGTCACGGCCCATTATGAGTGCTCAGTGAACTCGGCTCCCTTAGGACACACACCTGTATTGCGGTCTCGGTATGTGCCGAGGCCCGTGACGCACCTTAGAGACCGCTTGTTGCGCTGTGATGTTTGCATTAGGTGTGAGCCCGTGCGACTCGCATAGATATCCACACACACACATCCACATAGAGACTCTAACAGACACACACACATACACTCCCGCACACGCACGGAGTATCCGACTACGACACGCGAATAGTCTCCAACTCACACAACCAGTCGTTTAAGTATACATACGAGTATCCGACTCGCACACAGTCTCAAGCACACTCCTACACGGACACCGACACAACATCATTACAACCCACACACAGACGCATACACAACACATTATTCTAATCCACAGACACACACTCTCCAACTTGGCACACGGAGGTTATCCAACACTCGCGTCACATACTCCGACGCGCACAGCCTTCAACGCAACACCGAGGACACATACAAAGATCCCCCGTATAGCCTCAACAGACTGTTGGGGTAAGTGCTGTTAGCGAACACACAGAGACACAAGAGTCACGTGCCCAAGTGTCTACATTCTCTAGGTGTTCATTCCGAATTGCTGCGTTCAAGCTCCTCTGCGTCCTGCCCTTCGAGTAGCGAACTGTTTTTGCCACGGGCCCAGGCTACTGACATCTCTCCTCCTCCTGCACCTCCACCAAACACAACCCCGGCGCTCTGCTAGCATGTGCTGAAACTCCCTCTTCTCTGCAAAGCCAGGCAGCAAACCGCGGTGAGCAATGGCCAACGCAGACCGTGCCATGATGGAGCAGATGGCGCGGCTAAAGCTTCGGCTGCTCGAGAAGGTAAGGGTGGAGTGATCGTCTCCTCTCGCCTCTCGCTCCACATCTTTCCAGCATCGCCTCTTGGCCATCGTTCACACACACACGCCGCCAATCATCTCCGTCTCAAGCAAACTGTTGCGAACGCTCCACCAATCGTGCCGTAACCACGGAGTGTAGCTCCCCGCTTGATACGAATTGTTGTGTTTTTTGCAACGCTGCTCAGGCTGGCTTGGAGTAAGCATTATTCGGCGTAAGGCATTACCACTAGACGACAAGGTACGCCAATCCAGAATCCACATTTATTTATCTTGTATTCCAATAACGTCCTTGAAATCTGGAGACCACAAACATTATTTGGACACGTGTGTGTGTGTGTGCACAGACCACCACCACAATATTATGAGGACAACATTAGGCGAGGTGGATGTGACTGGGTGGTTAAATCATGTTTAGTGTAAGCACTGCGTCTGGGCTCGTGTACAAACACCGCCGGCGTGTTAACTTATCGTATCTAGGATTTTATCAGGCGCTTTTGTTAAATCACTTGTCGAGGCGCTTTACACAAATGATAAATGGTTAATTAGTGATTGGGTGATGGGGGAAAGGGGATGTGGTTTGAGAGTGTTGAGGAGGGGAAGGGATGGCAAGGAAGGGCTGATAGGAACAGGGAGGGGCGAGGTTAGCAAGGGTCAGGATGATAATTGGTTTTTTACCCTTCTATCTGAAGTATTGGAAATGACGGCAGGAACTTCTTGACGGGTAACACACTTTTATTAAATCTTGTCGTGTCACAATACAACGTGTGGTCTCTATTCTTTTGACTATACACTCCACATAACTTGTGTAGACTCTATGCCTCTGGCTACACACAATGCACTTGACTCGTGTAGACCCTATGCCTCTGGCTACACACCATGCATTCAACTCGTGTAGACCCTATGCCTATGGCTACAGACAATGCATTCGCCTCTGGGTTACACAGAGTCCCGGTCCCGTTAGGACAGCGGGACTAGGTACCGCAGGGCCCTATCTCTTCGATCCCCGTCTTCATTCTTCGCTGGTTACATACTGCATTTACGCCTGTGTGCATCCCCTTTTATAGCCCCTGCTCACGGGAGACGGAGCTGATGCGGACGTCGACGTGAGCATCGCTCCTTAGTTAACCAATGACGACGCGCTATCTCTACGATCCGTTTTCCCCAGCGCGTGTTAACACTACTCAACCAATCACACCGCGCTGCCACCCGATCACTCCCTCTCAGCGCGTCACCGGCACACAGCCAATCAGCACCACGTAACCCACGACCCCGCGCTGACCCCTGATCCTCCACCGTCAGCGCGCGTCACTACATACACAGCCAATCACTACGCGCTGGCACACGATCCCTACCCCAGCACGTATCACCACTACATCACCCCCTCCCACATAGCTTGCAGCCGGCCCGGCTGCTAACCAACAACACAACCCAACGTCAACGCAATAATAAAAAAAACCCCACCCCCCAGTGTGCCCCGTAACGCAACAACAACAACACAACAGCAACACTTAAATAAGAAGCAATGTACAGCCCGACGAACAACACAATAAAAGCGAACTCCAGAAAACGAACGCGCCAAGTGTCTCTGTGACTAAACGCAGTGACGAGGCGCTCCGGCTGCCTCGACTCCTCACGTGGTAGGTCATAAAAAGTAGCGCGACCTAGCGCGAGTCCGTCTGGCCGGTCCGTCGTATGGGACGGGACGCTGGCGACCGTCCGGTGGCTCCGGCAGCTCTAGACGGCGCGGATCGGGCCTGGAAGGACCGGCCCCGCCGCGAAGATCCGGCCGCCGGTGGTCGGCAGCTGTCAGTTCCGAGACACCTGGGAGCGGATCAGGCGGAGACATGTGAGGATCAGGCAAAGACATTTCCCCCTTAGGGTCGTCGGTCACGTCACATGCTCGGCCCTCACGACACAAGGGGAGGCCATATGGAGGCGAGAACGGTTTCAGTCGGGAGGGGTGGACGTACCAACGGCGCTTTCCCCGATTTATCTGAACGCACTGGGGGCGTGCAACCCGCACGACCTCCACGGGTCCCCGCCATGGCTTCAACAATTTAGGCGACGTAGCCAAAGGTGCCTGAGGGCAATGCAGCCAGGCCCTGTCACCTGGTTCCCAGTTGTGCACGGACACCTTCCGTGCACGCAACCGCTCGTTTGCAATTTGGCGAGCCCGCGAATTAAGCCGTGCGGCCTCCCTTGCCTCTGTCAGCTTATGAATATTAAATTTAATATGCTCTGCCAATTTCGAATTAGTTCGTGGTGCAGGCAGGCCCAGCTGCGTTTCCATGGGCGGGTCGGCTTCCCGACCGTACATCAGATAGAACGGGGAAAATCCCGTAGCTGCATGGGGGGCCATTCTATACGCGGCGAGGACCCCAGGGACCTGCAGGTCCCAATCAACATGTGCCTCACACACCTGCTGGCACAGCATAGAAGTCAATGTCCTGTGGAGTCTCTCCACCATCCCGTCCGTCTGCGGGTGGTACGGGGAGGTACGCACCTTCTTAGTACCCAACAGGTCGCACACCTCTTGCAGCAATTTACTTGAAAAAATTTTCCCTTGGTCGGTCAACAAGCGTTCGGGAGCCCCCTTGTCCAGGACGTAGCCCTGGACAAAGGCGTCCGTCACAGCCGCCGCCGACTGGTTGGCGAGTGGCCACGCCATAGGCCACCGGGTAAAATATTCGACCCCCACCAACAGGTACTTATTACCCCTAGGCGTGACCGGAAAAGGCCCCAGAATATCGAGCGCAACGAGCTCGTTAGTGCGCGAGACCTGAATAGATTGCAGCGGTGGATTAGCTGCCACGGGCGGTGGTTTCCGTCTGGCGCACTCAACACAACCCTTCAGAATATTCACCACGTCACTCCCCATCCCCGGCTAATAATAGTCACGCTGAAGCAGGGCAAGCGTTTTGTTTACTCCCAAATGCAAGAGGCGTTCGTGTGCGGCCAAGACAACTTTCCCCTCACAGCAGAAGGCACCACAATCGCGTGCCGCCGGGACAAACTGTCCCATCTCATTAACAGGCCTTGCTTAAGTACGTAGGAGCCAGTTCGTTCATGGTCACCTTCGGAACCCCCCGTCCTGCGGCGCAATGCTAGCAGGGAGCTGTCCGCCATTTGGAGACGGCCCCACTCAATCAGCGACAGTGAGAGCAGCGAGTCCTGACCCCCTGGGGTAGCGGGAACATCCCCAATTGGTGTGCCCGCGGTCGCAACCAACGCCCCCATACCTTCCGTAACTGGCGGTTTACAGCGCGCCGATCCCGATAAGCACGCACATTTGTGACAAGGCAACAATCGCGACAGAGCATCGGCATTTGTGTGTCGCAACCCCTTACGGTATGTAGTCGTGAACTGATAGTCCTGGAGGACTTCCAACCACCGTGACAATTGGCCCGAGGGCTGGGCGACCCGCAATGAATACTGGAGCGCCGCGTGGTCCGTCCGGACCGTAAAGTGACGACCATAGAGATATGGTCTGAATTGTTGTACGAAAAAAACAATGGCAAGCAGCTCGTGACGGGTGACGCAGTAGCGCTGCTCTGCCGGCGACAACACCCTGCTACCATAGGCGACCACCCGTTCGACCCCCCCAACGACTTGGGACAGCACCCCCCCAATGCCCGTGTTGCTAGCATCCGTGTCTAGCAAGAAGGGACTCGCAAAGTCAGGATAGCGCAAGGGTGGGGCACCTACCAAGGCGTCCCGGAGGGAGCAGAATGCAGCCTCCTCCTCCGGTCCCCATCGGAACTTCACTCCTTTCGCCGTTAGAGCATGCAAGGGTTTTGCAATGGTGGCGAAGTGCTCAACGAATCGGCGATAATAAGAAGCAAAACCGATGAAACTGCGCACGTCCGAAACTGACGTGGGCGTCGGCCATGAACTGACACAGTCCGTCTTCGCGGGATCGGTAGAAATCCCCGAAGAGTCGACAATGTGACCCAAGTATCTAACGGATTTACGAAAAAGGTGGCATTTGGCCGGTTTAAACTTTAATTTAGCCGATCGCATTCGCAAGAACACCCCTCTCAATCGCTGGAGGTGTTTCTCAAACGTTTTGCTGAAAACAATGACATCGTCAAGGTAAATCAGGCACGTATCCCATTGCAAGCCCGACAAAACCAACTCCATAAGGCGCTGAAACGTCGCAGGAGAGGAGTGAAGTTCCATGGGTAACCGGTTAAACTGAAACAGGCCCCCTGGAGTTCGAAATGCTGTCTTAGGTTTAGACTCTTCGTCGAGTGGCAACTGCCAGAATCCGGATAATAAATCAAGAGTCGAAAAGTATCGCGCACCAGACAATGCATCGAGGGACTCATCCATCCTGGGGAGCGGATACGCGTCGGCCACAGAGATCTTATTCAGGCGACGGAAATCTACGCAAAATTGCAAGGACCCATCCTGCTTTTTAACGAGCACAATAGGTGCTCCCCAAGGACTGGAAGAAGGCGAAATAATGTCGGCTTCTAGCATATCGTTAACAGCCGACTGAACATGTTCCTTCTCAGCAGGACTCAGTCGGAAGGGATTTAGCCTGACCGGTGCCGCATCGCCCGTTTCAATGTGGTGGCGTAACAGGTCCGTGCACCCAATGTCATACTTATGTTTACTGAACACATCCGAAAATTCTATCAGCAACCCGCGCAGCGCACCCAACTGTACCGCTGACAAATCGTCAGAGTCCGCGCACAGCGAATCGACCCATTCGAGGTCCTCCTTCGGTTTAACGTTTTGCGTGGGGCTCGGATCAGCCTGCGCAACCAGCCGCTCTTCCGCAGGGACCCGCGCCGCGTGAGCTAGCACGGTGCCCTGCTGAATGACGGCCGGCCGCGACCCAGCGTTTAAAACCATCACAAACGGATCCCTGTCAGCCCCAACCAAAGTGTGAGCCACCGACAAATCGAGACCTCCAACAGCCCTATTAGAAGGACCCAAAAGCATGCCTTGTTCCGAGGTCTCCCTCACCCATGGTTT